AGAAGAAGATATTCCTGCGCATACTTCTTCTTCCTATAACTTTGTTATATACCCAGTTTTGGTACATGTAATCAATTTTGGGATAAGACCAACTTCAGTGTGAATAAAATTTCTTGGGTCATAAACAAGATTTGTGATCCGTTCGTAATTCCAGTCTCGTAATGACGAACGTATTGTTTTGTAGCGGTATTACCTCTAAAACTTCGAAATCCGTTCAGCATCACTGAATAATCACTCAGCAATATACAGACGTACTACTTATACATATAATAGTTCGTAACATAGCTTCCTCTATTCATCACCCGCATTAGAGTTCTGCAGACTCATCAAATAGGAATACTATATTCAAGCTACAATGACTCTCATTCTTGCCAGCAACATTAAGGTTTCTTGATGTAAGCGGATAAAAGAGGTTATCTACTATTAGGAAACTTTATGTGATGTTGAGAAAGTTTGCTTTCCTTCAGAGTGATTTATTTAACGGAAGGATGGAAAGATTTAATAGCTTAACTAAATCAGATGATCCGGGCATTTCTTACCAAAGTCTCCCTGACTTTTAAGTTCTTTAGGGTCCGTTTATAGGGGACTAATCAGTTTTGCTGTATTTCAATTTATTGCACTGGTATGTTGACCGGACCCAGTCACCTCATTACCAAAATGTACATCTTAAGTGAAGGATATCTAAATATTATTGCATAAATAGTAATGGTGATATTTTCATTAGCAGTGGGAAGGAGGTGTGAGCGGATAAGGAGTTCTTGAGTAGGTAAGGAATATGATTACCTCATTAATAACCCTTAACAGCGTTGACTGTTGGCTACGGCCGTCATCCTAATTACCATAATTTACTTTTAACTTCAATTCCCTCCCCATAATTGTTTTCGCAAGAAAGCAAGCATAAAGTGATATGCAGTTCTCAAAAACCCTAACATGAGTTATTGTTAGCCTCGTCGGAGCCGGTTTCGTCCTTATTATGTTGCGGGCTCAACGAGGTGATTCTTTATTTGGATATCATTAGGTTTTTATCATTATCCTAACATTTTGATAAGGGCGTTCCATTCGAATAAATTGGATCTTTTCCACGAACTCTGGAAAGATTCTGACAAATTTCTGAAGGTTTTTTTCCCCAAACAAAGCACGATTGTAAATTGTGAAGAAGGATTTGAATGCTTAGAGGTCTTAATGCTTACAACATGTCTTCTACGGACTGTTGTATTTTGCTTATTGGTATCTTTTATTTTATTAGGCTGCTCAATTTGAACAGTGTACAAGTGCACTGTTCAGATAAAGAGCTCTAATTTCATGAGTGAGATAGATCTGTCACATGGTAGCGAAATAAGCATTTCAGCGTTAGTGATTTTGAAATTTATCATCACTAAGGAATGCACATTGAAATCGAATACCCAACGTTTGACAGCAGCTAATGAGGACAGAATTTCATGCTCAATTCAATAGAATCGTAATAATTATTGCTGATGTTTCGAAAATACTTGCAACGAAAATAATTTCAACAGAAGTGATACTAACGCCGCTTACTTCTTCGCGAAGTAGTTTTTAGTAATTCTATTTGAGTGAAACAAATTTTTCTGGATCCACTGGTATATCTGCTTATCACTGACGAAATCACTCTGCATAATAAAGCACAACACGAAACTCTTTGTGAAGAGCATTTCAACATTTTGCCATATTGTTGCGCTTTTCTAGTTTCATAAAACAATCGGAAGAAGGCACACTGAATGGGAACAGTGAATGTGAAATACAGCTCAAATCAGTGAAAGTGTACATATTCAATGAAAGCGAAAATTTCGGTTTTTCTTTAGTTAATTCGTTCATGAAAATGATTGGAAACGATATTGAATTAGAAAAAGCAATTGAATTGGAATTTATCGAATGCTCCAATGCAAAAGGATACTCACAATTGAAAGCAACTGACGAATTCATCGTAGGCCATTTTTGTTTCCATTCTACTTTTCTTTCCATTTTGAAAATGCGAAAGAAAAAGTTTCAACAAACTCTCTGGTTTACAGTGTCTAAGTACTTGGAAAAGATGAAAAAACTGAATGGTTGACACATGGTTAATTAAGGGTTCTAGTGGAACGTTTTCAATTTTTTCCCTACACATCCATTTCTAATTGATTCTTATGGACATCGCAGGTGAGCTATACTGGAGCGGTCCGATAGGCATCTTTGCATAAAACCTAAGTGTCCTAATTCTAATCTGATATGCTTGAATATCTGCAAATGTTGCAGTATGAATATGAAAAGTTGCTTAATGTGATGCACTGAAAAAATGCATCACATAAGTATGTCAACGCTTCCTTCCCACGATCACTTTCTCAAATTGATCATCACAGCGACGATGTGTTGTTTAGCAAACGCTTGAATTGTGATTGCAACGCCTTTTATAACTAATTGTAAGTATTATAACCACAATGCTCATCGATAATCCAACCACGCTCCGATGAGCACAAAAACGCAGAGATGCATTTGCATTCATTAAAATTGAATTGCATGAAACAAATACGTGTAGACAGTCATCATCTATTCGGTGATTTTCTTCATTTACACTGAAAAAACCCCAGTAGGCATTCTGTTCCGTATCGAAAGTACACTTCTCACCGACAATGTACGTCGGAAGGAAGCTTAATTATAGCACAAATTTCGATCCCTATAATCCAACAACGACAATGGAATCAAAAATGTGAAATGTACGGATGAAAAGAAGCTCGAAGTTTCATAAAATTTCAATTTGAGTCAATCGTGTACAAAGAGAATAGTCTTTATGTGAACATTGTAAAATGAGGAGAACAGCAAAGTCGGAGAAGTAAAAGGAAAAGTTCGAATGGGATGTTGTTGGAACAACCATCTTAGCTTATTGTGACAAGACGAAAATAAGTTGCTTTGGAATGCAATGAACATAAACGAGCAAATCGAGTGAATTACCCGTAAATGAATTTGAATGGCTCACATATAATCCTATCATCAACTCATCAGAGCACCTCTATTCCTTCTCGTAACATATACACACACTTCCATATGTATGAGTGAAGTAATAACATATTTGTCGTAAAAATAATTAGCGAGGTTGCTACATTTGCAGTTGCTTGTGCTCAAATCGAATCAATCCATTATTTTTTTACTGTCTAGTCTAGTAGCTGAACAAATGGTATCATACGTTTTTCCGTGCAAATGAATTGAATTGACTCAGTTTGCTTCTGTTAAGTAGGTACAAACAAGTGCCATAATTATTTTGAACAACAAAGTTGCTGGCAGTCTTCCGGTAAATTTTGCAAAAATCGAGAAATGAACGGTAATTAACCAAATAAACGTTTACGGTATAGACCGCTTTATTTGTGCAATGTTGGCGTATGTATTTTGGAATGGCAATTGAAAAGGAAGAGGACTGCATCGAACTAATGACTATAGATAAAAAACAAATTGGACACTTGAGAGAAACACAGTAAAGTGAAAATGTTTGATTTCTGAAATTGCAAAAAAAACGAGATTCTGAAACGTTCCATAAAAGGAATTGTTGAATTTCGGCTATTTAAGGGTAATGGTAGAACAGAGAATGAAGTAGGTAGCTTAATTATGTAACATGCCAGTTCTAAAAAACAATTTTAATGAAAAGTTCCTTTCCTCGGTACTCACGGATGATGAAAATACGTTCTTGAACGCAAATTAGAGATTTAAAAAATAAAAAAAAAACGAAGAAAGCGATATGGTAAGGTACTGCATCGCTTACTGTTGGCTGATGTCTTTGATAAGTGTTTTTGTGAATAACGGCACAAAAACGATTTTTCTTCAATGAATTAGTAGCATAATGAGACCGAACAGCTCAAGCAGGTCAGTCCACATAAATTTTATTCGAAGGATGATTAACGGATGGCAAACACGTGAAATAAAACTAAAATTGAAATGAAATAAAAGTGCAACTCGTTTAAAACGTTTGACAGTAGCAGCCAGTGATTCGTTGTACGACAAACAAATGAATGCTCTAAAAAGAATCGCATTGAATAAGATTCATTCATATCCAACATCATCAATAAGTTATGATTTTCTCACTCAAAGTGTCAATCGGTATAAGTGTGTCGTTGAATATGAAATCAGTGAGTGAATCAAATAGAGTGGATCAATATGAGTTTTGGTTTAATGAAGTTGTGAAAGAATTCAAATAGCATTCATTATAAAATAATGCTATCGTTCTCACGAGTGCTTACAATGCTCATCAAAAAACACTTTATTAAGTAACGAGAAGTCTGATAAATTCTATCGAGCGACGAAAATGCGAGAATTTGATCAAGTCAACAAAGCCAATTACTACGCGAATTTTGCTTTCTATCATTTTTATATCAACGTTTTACACAGTCATTAAACGCGTAACAATGATTCTCTAAATTATCAAAGTGAATATTCATAAGAATATACGAAACTTAACGCTAAACAACAGGGAAAAGAACTCGATATGTTGCAATATCACTAATGGGTACTGAAACTGATTTCAGTACGATTGAGGTGAATTCGATAATGCTATAATACGTTATTTGTTGCATCGGTATGTTTTCATCCAATTTCGCACATCAGTCACAATGCTTGAGTCTAAGAAGTACTGAAAACAATCAAGGAATTAAAATAGTTTCCAATGAATCGTTTTGCGTAATGCAAGGCTGAAATGCGGTCTCCAAATTTAGCGCTATAAAACCAAACGCCTCTCGTTTTAACGAAAACTAAAACTGACCAAAACTGATCGATTGACTAGTGAGATTAATGAGATGCTTGGGATTGGAAAAGATGTAGTATTAAGTAATTTTGTGATGAACTCTAAATGCAATTCACAATTCAATTAGCTCATTCGGTTCAAATACATCATAAAACGCTCAGAGTATCAAAAAATGCATGAACAGTTATTTGGTGTTAGCAGTATACAAGAGATGATGAATGCTACCAAACTTTTGATGAATACAGTGATCATCACTGATACGACTGCAATAAGCCACTACTCACGATCTTAATTGCTTTCTAGTCGAAGGGTATGGAAGCATAATTAAATGATGAAGACACAACCTTGGCATCTTGAAATGCTTCTTCAATGGAGTCCAATCCTCATAGTAGTTCTTATCAAGATTATTTGTTAACGCCCAATCGGTAACAACCATATTGAACGAGCTTTCGAACATAAAGCTCTGAAATATTGGGACTGAAAACAACGATATGCAATAAGAATTTGTTTGTGAGAAGAGATCGACGTATTTTGCAAGCAATAATTGAATTGTTCATTTTTTAACGTGAACACTAATTGAATTTATTGTCGAAGATGAACTGAATTCGTGTTCGACAGTTTGTGTTAACAAAAATTAAATTTCTGAAAGAACGTATTCGCTTAAGATGATGCAATGCTTTTGTCTGAAATTGATTCACGAACGAATACATGATTGCTTTCTTTGTTAAGAACAAACAGCAAAATGACAACTAATTTGATCACTGTCTACATTTCAAATCACATGACATAAATCATCACTCTTCACCATTGTATCGTCGGCGACTCTCTGTGGTTGCAACTTGCTTGCTGAGGCACTCTCAAAACATGTCGCATCAGGCCCATGCGGTGTCATCATACTATGAAGGCTACCACCACCTGGTTTGAAACCACCCTCTTTCGCCTCGTAACAACCATCAATTAGACCCATATATTCACTCATACAATTCCCTGAAGATCGCTCGAGTTAACTGACCGCAAATAACATTCATAAATGGTTGAGTTTGTCAGCCTGATATCTCCTTTTTTAGTGACATATTCAACGGAGACCTCAAAATCATCTTTTTTTTTCAAAACTTATCGAACGATTGCGATCAAATTACTATACGAATTTGGTTTACAGATGCGACCGTTGCTCCCAATATGTTATTGCCTTGAAGTTAAAATGCATCAGTTTGAAGGCACAAATAATAATGTTTTCCGATTAATAAGTTGTACATTAGAACGATAACTGGTATTGTTAACAATGAAAACAAAATTTCACAGCGAAAGTATCAAGGAAAATGAAAAACTGCATGAACGGACGATGATAATAAGGTGGACGAAAGGTATTCTCAGCGACGGTCCATCGTGGTGGGAAAATAACGAAATCAGCGAGTGCTGTTCCTGGACGAGTTGTAGGCGCAGTGAGAACCGTGAAAATCGAAGGATCCTTGAAGATAGCTTGACATCAAGTATTAATCAATGGTGATATAGGTATATCAAGTTATGCTCATCCTTTGTATGAGTTTTAAATAGAGCTTTCACAAAGCAGATGAACGACATTATACATAAATGTTACCGAGATCAAATGCGAGTAAAATTTCATTAGAAGAGGAATATAAGTGCTGAATGATGCTTACAGCATGATCAAACGAAACGGTGTTGATAGTCATGAATTTTCTCAGATCATATTTATAGGGGACATAGTTACCGTGCCAAGCAACGACGTCAAATGGTGAGTGATCCTGAAAAACGGAAAGAATCCCATATAGATCAAATTATGAAAAAAAAGTGATTGAACGCAGTCAGATGCACTTGGTATGCGATTGGAAGTTCAAAAACAACGTTCAGGGATACAACAGCATAAAATCATGGTGGCTAGGTGGAACATCTGAAAAATTGAGCACAAGTCATCTACGAAGTTGCACTTAAGCTTCTGAGGTAAGTTATTGCAATCGAAATTCATTCTTTCATTTGATGACTAATTCTTACTTGGATGGCAACGAAAAATTTTCCTTGATATTTACTACAAATTTCATAAACATCCACATCGCGATCCTCAAACCAAGCCACTGGTGTTTCGAAGTGACGTGGGTCAGCCAAGCCGTTCGCACCTTCAAATGATCGCTTTGCAAACGAACCGTTTAGATATAAGTCAAACTGTGAAAAAGTTCCAGCTTGAAGAACAATTTGGGAACGTTAGAAGCGTTAAAAAAATATTCACCCACTTATCTGTGTGAAATCGTATGGATGCTCAATTGCAATATTCTCAGATACATTACATTCGCTTGGAGTCTCCATACTTTTGTCATGCTGGTTGAAGAGTGATAATTCTGTCTCTAACAACTGATCTAGTTCTGGTAGATTGAAGTTTCTCTTTATTTGACATACAATATTAATGTTCAACGATCGAAAGGATTCATTTGCCAACCGATGGGACCCAGATCAGGCAACTGGAAGTGCACACCATAGACTTCAAGGATATATCCACGAGAAGGACCACACACATCGACCGAAAACCGGATTCCCTGAGGTATAACGACAATCTCGAGTGGTTCAACAACGATCAAACCGAATTCGGTTGTGAGTTGTAACCTTCCCAGTTGGGGCACTGGAATATGGAAGCAGATAAGTCAGCGATTTCGCAAATATATCTCTTTTAATCATGCCCAAACACCAACTAGTTGAGTGAAAATAAGTTTCATGTGAGACACAGAAACAAAATTAACAGAAATTATCCTAATGTACGTTATAAAAGCCAGTTCATTCATTACCATAGAATAGAGAACAGTAGAACAAAAAAATGGACAGAGCAGAAATGAGTGAAAAGCTGCAGATAGTGAAACACTGATTCGCATGAATATATGCAATATCCAATGTAAAAAATTCATTCACTGAACAAAACACATTTACCGATTAGCCAATCGCCATCTGCGTTATAAATACATCGACTTTTCATTGAAGAGTTACACGAATATTGGTGGATGGCAAGACCGTTTCTCGAAACAACATCACCTCCACCACAATATGTGTATAGGCCCTTAATGAGTGTTGCGTTTATTCTTTTATCGCAACTCAACACACCTCAACGATAGATTCAATTTCATATCACGCATCAATTATTTCTATCAATTTTTTGAATAACAGCACGTTGTTTTTTTGCGATGGGCTACAGTGTTTCAGTGATGGTCAGAACTGAGCAGGGATAGGAATTGCTTGGCTCATTGAAGCCTATAATTGTGAAATGTCACATCATCGAAATGTTTATGAATCTGAAAATAAGTAAGCACAACACCGAGTTAATGAACGTCCGTCAAACGTGCTTCCAACTATGTCGTTATGACAGAAGTGTCAATTCGCGATTCAACTTCGCTTTTAATGCTATCAAGAAAATTGCCCATTGAATTCTAATGTTATCAGAATGGGCTGCAGTTTAAATTCAGACATACTTTTATGTTTATGCTTAGGTTTACAAAGAGCAAAAAGACTATGTTCGCCACGCTTGATTACGTTAATTATGCATATTGCACTTCGTTTGTCGATGATGAATTAGGACTGTTCTCATACAAAGTAATTGAAAACAGAAAATAACTTGCTTGGATGAAATCAACTGTTCTTTTCTCGTCTGGAAGCGTGAGTGGATGCCAGCGAAGTTGAGTCGGATCAGCGTCAAAATTTGAGAAATCATTTGTGAAAAAAGGAGCGTTTGCAATCTTCTTGAATGGCTTATGTTGAACTGATGGACGAATACGATACAACCAACTGGAAAATGTAAGTGACTGAGAATTATTGCAGATTTTATTTGAAAAACGGGTGGGTGTTTCAGATGGATGCTGAAAAAACTAAATGAAATCCGATTGATCAGCTCATTGATCAAACTAAGCGAATAATGGTAATAATAATATTGAACTTTGAGAGCCATTCACAGTTGTACGTAAGACTTTATTGGTAACTTTAAACGTGATAACGAAGCAGCTGAATGAATGAATCCAGCCAGACTCGAACGGTTAACAATGTTGAAGAAATACAACATGCCTTCGCTTATTAGCGATTCTCGGAGCAGTAAATGCGGTACCGCTTAGCTGTTCAGCGTATAAACCATATGGACATACTTGGGGATTATTCTGATTTATTGGTAACGCTCCTTTGCAGCGTTCATCTTCAGAGCAAAACTCATTTCCAAAGCCATTTTGATATTTCAACTGTAAAGTTTTCAAATATAGAATACTTAGGTTCCCGCTTATCGATACTGGCTTGCTGACTAGATGACTGGCATAGCAAGAGAACTAACTCATATACACTAACTCCTTCCATAGGTTGACCAATTTCCTTCAAAAGAAAAAGGCGTAAGACGACAAATTTAGTATTGCGAAGCGTCTTGATACAATAATTTAACGAAACCAAAAGATTGTTCGAAGGAATATCAAATGTTCCTAGATAATCAGTAAAATTCATGTATTTACCAGTGAATGAATTGCAGCATTCAAAATAATTAGGCTTTTTCATCGTGAAAATAGTCGACAAAAAATGAAGCGATAACATTTTTCTCTTTCACCTGATGAGTATGCTGTCAAGCAAGCTGTTGAGATAAAATCTAAATAAAATTACAAAAGATAACCTTTTTAACTATCTACTGTAAAGTGTCTTTCGCTAAAACAAGAGGTAATATATTCGTAGGTGTAAAGTATTCTGAAGAATGAAAGAAATAAAAACCTGCTGAAAACGATCCGAGAGTGACATGTATGCGGTGAATCGAGCGTCCAAATGAGTGAAGGGTGAAGATGTTTTCGTCGCTGATTGACATACAAAGATAATGTGCACTAAGATGAGCAACAACCGGTCATTGATAATATCATAAATTTGTTATTTCATCGATCTTTGCACCAAACTCAACCACTCAACAACTCCCACTTTACTGATTGTAATATTATCGGATATTCAATTAATAAATAACGCACTACACGTGAACCATACCGCAATTCCACTGAAATGATACAATTAACAATTTGCTCAGTTCGTTCAAATGAATAGAGTAAATTCTTAAGTTTATGATATGTATGTTCCTGGAATGGCTGAATAAGAAATGGCTTTTAATCATCACACCGCTAGAGATGATACAATACCATTTATAGAATACAAGTGACAAGAAAATTCAACTGTAAAAAGTAAACCAGGTGCGGATAAGTGAATGTTTCAGGAATGTGTAAGATAGTGTCGTGAGATGTCATGCGATAATGTGCTGGCCTCTACTGTTTCTTCAGGCAATGTACTCCAAGTCCTTATGATGCTGCGTGCAAAGAATTGTAATAATTTGTTGGTATAGACCAAGTATGAAATTTTTAAACGATAGCGTGTCCTCTTGTGCGAGTGTGTGTATTTTATTGATATGCAAATATGAATTCAAATTGAAGTAGTGGGTATCATCTGTTATCAATTAGTAGTGCTGCATGTACGAGGTGTACGCCAAGAAATACAACATTTGCGACTGATCTCAGTAACTCAACTACTATCGATGAGTTCTGGAAGAAATGAATCCGATGGAAGACATTAATGAATATTACATTTTTAAAAAGAAATACTTATTTACATGGCACTATCTGGTGATGGGCACGCTAATGAAAAAAGTATAGCTCCGCTAATCGTTAATTTGCCAAAAAAATTTTTTCCACTAAAGATGATCCATCAATAGCGTTGCTGACGGAAAAGTGGTGAAGAGTCCGCGCTAAAAGTGTCGCTATTCGAAAAAAATAGCAGTAGTTTTCACTAAAACGCTACTCACCAGAATTAGTCCGCTAATTGCTACTTTTAAATTTTCCTTCAAAGTTTGCAAATGCGCTACTGAGTTGTCTGGAAAAAATCTGATTGCGTCATTAAACAGTTCATTTCAAGAACATCAACGGAATGTTGGTTTTTGCAGAATGGAAAGCAATCAACTGGCAGCAACCCCACTGTACCTTCTCACTTCCTTTCAAGAACATAAACATGTCGTCTGGATCGTTTGGCTCTTACTATATTCTTCCTTAGCGTGAACAAAAATGGACAAAACTTCGTTACTTAACTTATTCGGAGTAATATAACTCAGAATGAGCTTTGACGGAATGCTGGTGGTACACTTATAGCAAGTATTTGAGATAAGATCGTGTATTCATTCAACTTCGAGCAGTTAGCACGATTGCAGTGAATTCGAATTCAGTAATTGTCACTGCTAGAGCGTGAATGTGTATTTTAGATATTTCGATGTTGACAAAAATACACATTTACGTTGACAAGAATAAGCATTTACTTACACAAAAACAGTACCGATTCAGTGAAATCTGAAAAAAGTAGCTTGCAAAAATGCCAAAGAAGGAAAATAGCACAAGTTATCGCTACTTTATGCCACTAAAAATTATTCTATCAAAAGTTAACGCTAAAAATTTCGGCTGTATAAAAAAAGTAGTTAACTATCGCACTACCGAAAAAAGTGGCTCTGCTTACAGCGGAACAACGAAAAGCACACCATTGCCCACCACTAAAACTATCATGAGGATCGCTGCTCAAATACTTAACAGTATACGTTCATTAAAATAAAACACATGGAAATGATCGATGATAGTTTATAAACGCTACACTCGACTTATGTATGTCGCTACTTCTGGAACTGAGGTTGGCATATGCACCCCGCCTACACGGGGACAAGGATTGGGAGCACACGAATGGTCTCTCCCCATTCCACTGATTATCACGTCACCACGAGGACTAACCACTGTCATTCCAATTATTTCAGAAAGATACGAATAGATTTTGTGTTATTGCTTCCCCTTTTTTGCACGTTATAATGGCATAATGGTTTTTTGTGGTAGCTCTTTCGAGAAACCGTTCTCGTAGGAAAACCTCGGGGATGGGCATTGAAAAATCCGTCCCCGTTCTAACTATGCCCGGAACCAATTACCGACATATGTTGAGGTAGAACTGTATATTATTGCTGTTCAAAAAATCAGTTCATTTTTTGTCATATACCGTGTATCAAAACTTACGACAGTCTATACAGTCTATTGATCCATCATGGGTTTGGATAATTTGTTTTGATTATCTCTGAGTTTGACGCGATTTAAAAAACGACCATAAAGAGTGCTGTTACGCATCACAAGTACTTTCGTAATGATTATCACTTGGCAGAATGTCAATATCGGCAGCGTGCCCAACGCTTTTTGTGTGGCGTCCTTATCCGCAATAAGTGGAGGAGCATGAGATTTGTTTAAAGGGTGAGGGGGTAGTTTCAAATTGAGGTTCTATTACCTGTGGATAAGGCTAGGGGGGGGGGGGGGGGGGGGGGGGGGNGGTGTGGAATCGAAGCACTTTAGCGGTTACTATTTGTGGTATCCTTTGTTCGTTGTGACCGCGTCCAGCATATTTTTATTTTAGACAATTATCATTGCTAGTATCATTTTTATCATACTTATTTTTACTCTTATTTTATTCTTATTTTTCCTTTATTCTTTCTCTTCCTATTTTTTTCTATATTCTTTCACGTTTATTGTGCGGAGAGAATGTTCGTTCACGGTCGCTGAATTTGTCTATTGTTTAATTTGTTTCATCCAATTGTGTTATCGAATCAACACATACTGGTTTGTTATGATACTTGCCCACCACATTTGTTATATTATTGGAGTGGCTCGCTTTTTCTTTCCGCTTTTGACCCTTCGCGTGCTCATTTTGCTTTGCCTGAATCATGAAAGCAACACGTTTTCTTGTTGTCGAGAATTACCTCATTTTCATGTGCAAGATAACGTGACTTGGGTCGTCGTTTTCAGTCGTGTCCGAAATCTTCAGTCATAATTCTTTCAGTTGATGAATATTCGTTCATTTTCTCACTCGGTTTAGCGCACCAAAACGTTTGGTATATGCAGTAGTTTTAATGGAAGCACATACATCACATTTCGACGACGTAGCTTTCGCCCTTTTTCAAGCGTAAGTGATTGACTGTTTAATTATACGGAAACAAACATTTGATTGGTTATTAAATTAAGCTCAGCATGCCTCTTTCATCTGCAAAAGCCTCTCCTAATACTTTTTTACTCGCTTCTCTCAAGTGGGTACAAAATATCATTGCTATAATACTTTGTATGAAAGTTCAATCAGAGGTTTGAATACTTATGTATTGTAATAATAATAAGTAATTAGAACACAGTTTTACTTGATTAAGCACAGGTTTAGTTGATTCAGTTTAAAATTAATGGGAATGTTTTATCGAATAATCCAAACGTTTGAATATTAGAACGTTATAATGCGTGAGCATTTGTTCGTCATTTGTAATTGAGTTCTTCTTCCGATATCATTTACAGTTATCAAATTTTACCGTGAATTCCAGACTAAATCCGGGCAAAAAGCTGAATCGTGATCAAATCCCATACAAACAACTAAGAGGACTGGTTGGTGAATTGGTCGGTGATCGTCATACAATCCAGCATGTCAACTCACCAAAACGACACTGTCTTATCACTGACCGTGAGTTGTTTGTAATATTGTTTTGTAGAATCTTGCAATTCTGTTATTGGATTCACTTGCTGAAATTTTTTCATTGTAGACCGTCGTTTTCGAATCGTTTAAAGTGCAGTATTTGTGTCGTTATTGTGTTGATTGTTTTTGTTATTTGTATCCTTTTGCATTTGCACTCATCCAGTCATTATCTAAGTTATAAAATACCTCAAACGAAAACTGCTACATTTTTCTACCTCTGCTTTCTTGTTGCCCATGATTTTGGAAAAATATTTTGAGACTGGTAATCCATCAGTCGAATTTAAGTCTTGCTTTTGGCAACGGAAAATGAACAATGTTGGCATCTCTCATTTATCCAAGAAAACAACTTGAGTAGAAATTTGCCGTTGTTGAATATGTGATAGACGCAATGATGAGTTGATTACGTGCTGTGAAAGGATCCAGTTTTGTTATAGTAATATTTTGAAGGAGAGAGCAGTACGTTGAATGATACAGAGAGGAATGGTAGCAGTACATTGTATGCGTCTGACGACAGTTCATCTCGAATTTCATTTGAAGAAAATTTATCAACAACAAGGAAACACCGAAATAAAATTTTTTTACGTACGATGAGTAGCGATGCGTCGAAGAAAGTGGTGCTTAATACGAATAAGTTAGCAAAACACACTCGCAGTATGATGCAGATTCGAGCAAGAAGACGTATCGCTTCATATACACCAAGATACACACCATTTTGTAGGTTTGATACGATTTTTTTTTATGTTTTCGAGATAATATACAATCGAAGTTTATTAATTGTCCTCACTGAGGCCTCGTTCTTTCTCGGAAGCATTTTGTGAATTGTCATTCATTTCAATTTTCTTCTTGTCAATTGATTAGAGTATAATAATTTTCCAACTGTTTGTCATGCTTTCATCGCATATATACTTACGTTATATGAATATTGATCAAGGATGATTCGAGAGAAGATTATGACAGAGAATACGCTCAATTTCTGGCAAGAGAATGCACTCAATATTGATATAGGAGTATTCGGAAATATGTGCCTTCATTTTGCCCATATCGAACTATTTTCTGATTAAAAATAAAGATGAATTTGTTTCAAGCTTGCTCAGAAGAGGAATTACGGAATCGGTTTGGTACATTCTATGAACAATTGATGGACAGTAGTGCTACATCAACGGAATGTTATCACGTTGTTGTGAATACACTCGAAAAATTCTTCACAAGAAACACATGGACTGGCAATGTGGAAGTCTGTTGTTTCATTTATTTGATTGCTTCTCTCTTCATTTTACTTTCCGAATTTTATCGCATCCAGCTTTATCAAATAATATATCAAGATGTTCAAAGGTGGCGAACGATTTTCAAAGTTATTGAATCAAAAATTATATAATTTGGCGTCAGATTTGCATTTTAAAATTTATCACACGAATTTTTTAATTCGTCGTTATTGCAAATGCAAATTTCAACTGTTCATTGCAAATGGTTTGCATCAGTTTTCGTCGAGTTTCCTCCAAATTATTTATCATCTATTTGCAAATTGAGTTCTCAATTTTATTATACCAGTAAGATGTGAACGACAAAAGAAGAATGATCATGAAATGAATTTAGAAGTTGGTGAATGAATTCATCAATGACAATGTGTTGATGTCGTGTGCTGAATTAGGTGTCAAATACGATGAATACGTTGAAAGTGGTAATGGTGGACGTCGACTTCGTGAGTATGAACTGATGGCACTTCTTGAAATTCGACTGATAAACGAGAACTGTGTTAGTGCGGTCGAACAAAGTGACGTACGTAACTCGATAATTAACCTTTTCCAACTAACGTAACTTTTGCAAGTAAAATTTGTCACCTGAAGGAAGCCAATCGTCTAATTGCCACAGTATTAATCAGAAGATCCTTTGAAACAAAAGCGTTGGACATTCTAAAAGTTAAACGTCATTTCCAGTCTATTCATGATATTATTGGGATATTGGCGGAACGAAATTAAATGTCTGATTATCAACAAAGTGTGGATGTTTTGTTTTTTAAGGATTATTGGTAAATGTGATTTGTTTATAGGTTCACCAGTTGATTTCTTCATGAAAATTTTGTTTATGTTTGATATTTTACTGCAGTCATGCGGTGTTGCTCATCGTGATATTAGTTTCAGGTGCTCAACAAATTGCGTTTCATCTATTTCGCTGGAGATGTGCAGCGTCTTCGTGACTTTCTAGATGAAACTATTTGTGATCAGTAGGTTTTTGATCGTTTTTCTTCAATTTAATCTTTTCAGTTTTCTTTTCCAGGCAGTAATAGTTCCGTAACAATTTGCCATTTAATGCTTGGTGGTCTTTTCAGCGAGAATTATTTGTTGTAGTTGACATTCTGTCTGAAAAGGAACATTTTGAAACTTGATTTGTGTTTTATCAGTTTCCAACGAACTTATCTGAATGAATTATCATCCATTCGATTTTATGTTGATATTGATAAACACCCAAAAAATCTGCATCAAACGCCTACTTCGTTTTTCTTCTCTCTACGAAAACTTTCAAAAGCCGGTGAGGCATCCTCGTGTTCTGTGCCTGACATGGCTTTTCAATTGTTTGTTGTAACTGCATTAATTTTTTTTTCGTTTTACAGATTCGCACATTTGAAACCATTAGTTGTGACGCGTATCTATGAGGAGTTATGTATGAAGCTGCCGTTCGATCTGCAGTGTTATGCCCGCGAAGAGATCGACAATGATAGAGTGGATGATTTTGAGCTGGAAAGTGCGACTGTGTTGAAGAGACGAGCAAGTCAGGCGGAAAGTTTAGATCGTTTGATAAATGGCAATGATAGTGATAGTGCATCGGTGGATTGCCTCGGCATGAACGCAACTGTGAAGAGGCATCGCGCAAGCAGTCTGCGCACCGATCGATCTTCGTTCCGACGGCAGTCGTCAACACTTTCTTCAGGTGCATCTGCATCGCAGCCAAGCAACAATCATGCATCGGCCAATCTTGCGCTCGCAAAATTACGTAAGTTACTTATTCTGTATTTGTTTCGCTTGGTTGGCGTATTTATTCCCATACAAGGATGTTGGTACTTTTCCTTTATTCTTGTCCAGTCTTTCAATCGTCAAATCATTTTTTTGCAGTTAGGTTAGTGACTCAATCCCTTATTCATTTGATTCTTTTACACTAGTTTCAGAACTCGTTGCTTGCTTTACAATGAAATATGCTATCCAATAATTGTATCAGCTGAATAATAGGCCCTCATCAACAAGTTTACTTTACAGCTTGCTGGTTGATCATTGCTCATCCGTTTTTCTTTTTATTTTTTTGAATCCTTACGTTTCTTCATTTTCGCCTTTGATTGCGAATAATATTCACTGAAGATTTATTTATTCGATTAGTTGCCTTTCAATTACTCATCTCATGGTTGGTCAAGAGTGATTTTTGATGTTTTCGTTCTTTATTGCATTTACTTGATAAGCATCAATAATCTTTAGGATGTCAATGTTTCATTGTGTTTCGTTAATTCGTTATTGACAGTCAACATCATTGAATGTGTTCCTCTGAATAATGTTCTAATTGAACGCTGTCATGTGATTGGTAATTTTCTAGTTGAGTGCAAGCGATGGGTTGAGATGGGATAGTGATATGATGAGATGGCTTTTGAGAACTACGTTCTGTCACCTATTATTTCACTCTTCTCAGTGTAAATCGCAACAGCAATATGAGTATAGCTACTGCTTTATGGCATTCGGCTCATATATATA